AAACAGGGGGGGGGGGGGGACGGTTTTTTTCCGGGCCTTCACATCTTTAAACTTGAACCAAGCTCACTGGATTTGGTATAGGTTAACCAGTTCCGCAGGGCCACAAAAACGGAGCTCTTCCGTCAGGCATCTGGGTAAGGAGCCGCATCTTCCCATCTATGTCCTGCCCCAGTCTTATTCCCAGCCTAAGCCCGCCGATAGTGGAGGTACTGCTTATCTTATTATAGTCACATCGCCATCGCTATGTTAATGGTTTTAATAAATTACTGTGTATTTTATACTAATATTCAGGGCTATTTTTGGGCAGGAACGCATAGGAACGGAGTTCCGGATGGCTCCCGAGTTGGCCACGCCCAGCAGGAACTCATTAGCATAATAGGCCACACCCAACAGCAGACACTCGTTAGGATTGGCTACATTAGGGGTGTGTGGCCTAACATGCAAAGGAGTTCCTCCTACAAAAAAAGGCCCTGGGTTTTGACAACAAACAAGGTAAACAGAATAACAAGCAAAAGGTGGGTGTATCTATCTGAATAACCACACTTCTGGTAACATGGGGGTGTGGCCTAATGTGCTAATGAGCTGTGCTGTCAGGGGTGTGGCCCAATATGGTAATAAGTTCCTGCTGTTGGGTGTGGCCTATTATGCTAATGGGTTCCTGCTGGGTTTTTTGTACAAAAAGAGCCGTGCTAATATTTATATTAATTTTTATTGTTGTTTTATCTATGGCTCTCTTGTAAGCTGCCCTGAGCCTGCCCCGGCGGGGAGGGCAGGGTAAAAATCTAATAAATAAATAAATAAACCAAGATGAGGCAGTGTTAGCCCTGGCTTAATGAGGAGGCCGAATCTCCCTTCAGCAAAACAGGCTGGCCTTCTGCAAGCACCCTGAACGCCACTCCGTTCACCTCCACGCACACACGCACAGCCATCCCCTACTTGAATGCTTGAGAAATTGCCACGGTATCAGCAGTGAGGATGAGATTTCTGACCAGCCTGTCAGCTTAGGGTGACTAGAAGCAATTGACTAGAAAGTGACTAGAAGCCCTGCACTCATCTAAGCCATTGATTTCAACTCTGCTTCAGATGGCACAGATGGTCTCTGGTTGGGTGGCGGGGTTTATTCTGAATGCAGAATTTGGGACTCCCCAGTAAAGAATCTGTCTGGCTTTGTGCATTGTGTTAGAAGTGGCTATGGAACCTTTATATAATGGAGAAAATCTCAGATACCCCATACTAGTACATCTATCTACCAAAGAAACATTTCCTGATGTTATAAAAACTCTGTATCTATGGTAATTTTCAAACTGTATAATACCGACAAATTGTATGAAATGTATGAAGCCATTGAGAGCTGACTATGCTCATGCTCACCTTGTATCTTTGCTGTTTATAAAAATGAATAAAAATTATCTGTTAAAAAAAAAAGTGGCATCGATGCAACCACAAATAATAATTTAATGAAAACATCAACCCTTCTGTCCCTTGCAGCTGTGAAGTCCGAGAAGGTGCAGATTCAGCCAGGAGATGCTTTTGGTTCGGGCAGCGTGGTGTACAGGAAGCAATCCGGCCAGCCCTCTGAGGCGTCGTCATGGTTTGCTCCGTCTGATAATAGCTTTCAGTTCGGCTTTGATCTTCCCGAGGGAGCCCCAGAAGAAATGGACAGAACCACAGAGGAAGCACATGGGGTAGTTGATGCCCGGGAGCAGTCGGCTGGTAACATTCCCTCTGCGCAGGAGGGCCAACGGGTGATGTTACACTTTTCCCCTGAAATGCAAGGGCCTGAATTTGCGTTCAATTTTATCATCCCAGGTGGTCTGCATCCTCCTGCTGCTGCTGCAGATCCAAGTCTGGAGGATGCAGCAGAAGCAGCTGCAGAAAAAGGCACTCTATCAAGAATAGCCGTGGAGACACTGGAGAGTTCAGTCTCCTCCAAGCCCAGTAAATTGGATGCAGGAAGTGGTAGAGATCAAAGAGATGATGAAGATCCTTCACTGGCGGTTGCTCAAGAAGGTATGGAGACGATGGCTGCAAGTTGGATCTAGGCAGGGCCTTTTTTGTAGAAAAAGCCCAGCAGGAACTCATTAGCATAATAGGCCACACCCAACAGCAGAAACTCATTCACCTATTAGGCCACACCCCTGACAGCACAGCTCATTGGCATATTAGGCCACACCCCCATGTTACCAGAAGTGTGGTCATCCAGCCACACCCACCTTTTGCTTGTTATTCTGTTTACCTTGTTTGTTGTCAAAACCCAGGGCCTTTTTTTGTTGCAGGAATGCCTTTGCATGTTAGGCCACACACCCCTAATGTAGCCAATCCTAATGAGTTCCTGCTGTTGGGTGTGGCCTATTATGCTAATGAGTTCCTGCTGGGCGTGGCCAACTCAGGAGCCAGCCGGAACTCCGTTCCTGTGCGTTCCTGCCCAAAAATAGCCCTGGATCTAGGCTTGTATATAGATACCTGCCTGCTTGCCTGTGGCGGGGCTAAGAATCTATTTCAGTGAAGAAAATTCTGGCAAAAACTACAAAAAATATTTTCAAAAATATTAAAAATTAATATACCATTAACGCCGGAAATGTGTTTATTAAATATGTTACCGGATACAACCAAAGGACATATGCACACAATAATATACATACTAACAGCAGCTAGAATCCTCATAGCAAGAAGATGGAAATCAGAGAGTTTACCATCCATAAGAGAATTGAAATATAAAATCTTAGAAGTAGCAGAGATGGATAAGCTGAATAATAATCTAAAAAATGAACCAGAAAATACTTTTTGGGATAGATGGGGAATAGTATATGACTGGCTAAAGATAGAAAAAAGCTAGACAATAAAGAATGAAAATGCTAGTATATGATACTGGATGTATGATCAAAGATGATTTTTTTTTCTTTTGTTAAAAAATGTAGAATACAATGACTATGTTTTTTCCCTAAGTTATGTGAATGGAAAATGGAAAATCAATTTATATTAAAAAAAATAATCTATTTCAGTGAAGAAAGCTTTACAAAAGTTGGTGCTTTCTTTCCTTGTAGACTATAAATAACCTAAAGTTGTCTAGGTGGGAGGGGGATTTTAAAACTTCTTGAGAATTAATCATTATTGTGATTTGCAAGCCGCATTAACTGTTTTAATAGAAACCAGCTAAAGCTTGGTTTGTTCATGCGCAGGAAGTTTATAGCGATAGACAAAGGTAGCCAGATACAGTGTGCCTGCATACGAAAGCTTATACCATGAATAAAACTTTGTTGGTCTTAAAGGTGCCGCCAGACTCAAACGTTGTTCTGCTGCTTCAGACCAACATGTCTGAGAGCCAGTTTGATGTAGTGGTTAGGAGCGCGGACTGTAATCTGGGAGGACCGGGTTTGATTCCCCACTCCTCCACTCGCAGCTGCTGGGCGACCTTGGGTCAGTCACAAGTTCTTTCAGAGCTGTTCTCTCAAGGGCAGTCCTCGAAAGAGCTCTCTCAGCCCCACCCACCTCACAGGGTGTCTGTTGCGGGGAGGGGAAGGGAAAGGAGTTTGTAAGCCGCTCTGAGACTCCGAGTGAAGGGCGGGGTATAAATCCCATCTCCTCCTCCTCCTCCTACCCCACCTGAATCTATCTTTTGACAAGCTGAAGTTATCTTTTACCATCTCAAAAAGTGTTTTATGTTGAGGTTTCATAAATTTGCACTTTTTAACAATGACTGTTTTCCAAAAATAAACTCACCTTAACACAAGTTCTCTTCTTGGATTTCAAAGTGTTGCAGTGCTGATCAGCACTTGAATACGAGCAGTAAATAAAAGCAATTCACTTCAGTGTCTTTTTGTTTGCGATTTCAATCAGCCATTTCCATCTTCTTTTAAACCTACTTATAGTTTGCTGCTGTGACTGACTGTTAGTCCCAAATTTAAATTCTAAAGTTTTAAGAATCATTGTTTTATTGTTCAGACTTTGTTTTGAGTGTAAATTAATCTTGTGGTAATAACTGCCACAATAGATAATCGAGGAGCTGCGGTGGCTCAAGTGGTTAAGACGCTGAACTGCAGGCTGTGGAAGGTCAGTAGTTCAGCAGTTCGAGACCCGGGTGCCGCATGACGGAGTGAGCTCCCGTCTCTGGTTCCAGCTCCTGCCAACCTAGCAGTTAGAAAGCAAGAAATTGCAAGTAGATAAATAGGGACCACTTCAGTGGGAAGGGAACAGCGTTCCGTGCGCCTTGGTGTTGAGTCATGCCGGCCACATGACCACGGAAACGTCTTCGGACAGCGCTGGCTCTTCGGCTTTGAAACGGAGATGAGCACCGCAACCCTAGAGTCGGACTCGACTGGCTTTTGAGCAAGGGAACCTTTACCTTTTTAATAACTGCCCAGATCAAAGGCTGATAGTTGCTGTCTGCTTACAGCACTTTTCATTCAAATATGCAACTGTATTAACATGTAATGGGTTTAATTAAATCCAGTGAAGAGGCAGATGATTGATTGGTAAAAATTCTTTAATCGGTTGACAGCTGTAATAGAGAAGAAAGAAACAACCCATAAAGAAGTGAGTGTCGCAACTGCTTGTGGATCATCCAAGAGAAAAAAGAGAAAGAAACAGCCCTCAAGGGTAGAACCCCACAAAAACGTAAATGAGGACAGCAGACTCCATGTTAAAGCCGCACCTGACCAAACTGAGCCGTGTCAGGTATGTAACTGTTCCTTCTAAGTAGGGGGGGGGCATCTTGGAACCCTTGTCCAGACCCTGCCACGGATGCCTCCAATTTATGGGCACTGCAATGAAAAATACAAGATCGGACAACTTGAGCATGTGTTAATTAGTATGCTTGGTTCTGGTTGCAAACTTTACGGGAAGAAGCATGCATGGTCTGGAATTAATGGACTTAATTTCTTGATGGAGGCCTGGGGAAGATCTGTGAGGAGGGGGCATGGTTCAGTAGTAGAGCAAGACAAGTCCAGGTTCATTTCTTCTGGTCTCCAGTGAAAGCATCTCCGCTAGAGAGTGATGGGAAAGGCAAGACCGAGTGACCACATTGAATACAAGACACGCCTTCATTGCTATTGAGGACCCGGGTCAGTGTCAGCAAGCTGCCAATTGTTGTTTTTCTCCTTTTCTATGTATGCGCTCGATTGCTTTCGCTTTCATACGTAGACCTGTTGATGCGCTTAATTGCTTAGCTGCCGGAACGTCTATATCTCTCAAGGCCACAGGTGGTCGCTGCTGCCGGATAGTTGCTTGGGTTATCTCACGAAACACCGTGGGAAGGAGATAACGTATGCCGCCTAGAAGCGTTTGCTCCCAGGCCCGATGGCGCGCGGGGAAACTCCCGCAATTGGGCCTCAGTGGTTTGAATGTACTATAACATGCCATGCTCTTTGCTCCCCCCTCATTCCGAACAGTGATCCTGTCTATGCACCTATAGCTTCAAATAAAGTAAAACCTTTCTGCAAGTGTGTACTTCGTTGATGCTGTGGGGAGTCTGACATTCAGCAACTACATTTTTAGTGGTTCATTTGGAAGAGAGGTGGAGATCCAAGCTTTGCCAGCCCCGCCTTTTAAAGAGTGTTGAAAGAAATAAAGAAGATCACAAGAGAAGACATTCCACTTGATCCGGCTGTATTGCTTCTTAACTCAAGTTATACTATTGAGGAATCGGAAGTTAAAATTACTGAATTAGCCGCCACATTAATAGCCACGGCACGGCTTGCTATTGCTGCCTCATGGAAAAATCATGATCCTCCTTCTATTGCTCAATGGAGAAATAAATGTTGGGACCATTATGTGATGGATAAAGTAGCAGATAAATATGAGTCCCACATACAAGGATATGCGAGATCCCATGCCAATTTCAATCGAAAATGGAGTCCTTTTATAACATGTTTTACAGAAAACGGTGTGTTACCAGCAAATACTAGTTATGCAGATTGGATACATCTTTTAAAAAATTTTATGGCTTTAGCATTCTCAAAAATATATATATGTATAGATATCGCATAATGGCACATCAGAATGTGACAGCACAAATAGCCGTGCTCCCTCCCCCCGTGTTTTCCGGCACATCTGACCGGGGCCACAAAACAATTAAATAAGATGTTCCTCCTGACAAGTTAATAGTTGGCATTGTGTTAAATGAATTTGCACTTACAGGCTGTATTAATGTTTAAATAGTAATCTTGTTTATGTATACTTGACTTATCTTTTAATAAAATCGTTTAAAAAAAAAAAGAGGGCGGCTCGCAAGTCAGGGCTCTCTTCCCTCCCTTCCCATTTGCCCTCCTCGAAACAGAAACACACAACTCTGGAGGGGAGCGAGCCGCCAGAGGTGCCGGCCCAGCAGTGGCTGTTCTAATTGTCCCCCTTTCTTGCGCAGCAGCCAGACGAGCAGGTGAAGAGGGAGGTGGAGTGGTGCGTGGAGCAGCTGGAACTGGGGCTGAAGACTCAGAAGTCGACTCCGAAGCAGAGTGAGTCAGATTGCCGGGTGCAGTTGGCGTGTATGGGTGCTGGGGAGGTTGCAAAGCTGGGAACACCCGACTGGAGAGGCTTGTGCTGGGACAGTGGCTGAGAGCTCGAGCTACGGATTGCTAAGTCCCCTGGCTGCACGTGTCTCAGTGCCTTCACTTGCAATACAGAAGTCATACTTGAAGGACTGCCTCTTTCCATATTGTCCAGCTTGCCAGCTGAGGTCCTCTTGCCAGGCCCTGCTCCCTGTGCTCCAGCGAGAGCCAGTTTGGTGTCGTGGTTAAGAGCGGCAGACTCTTAACCTGGAGAACCGGGTTTGATTTCCCACTCCTCCACGTGCAGCCAGCTGGGTGACCTTGGGTCAGTCACAAGTTCTCTCAGAGCTCTCTCAGCCCCACCTACCTCACAGGGTTGTCTGTTAGGGGGAGAGGAAGGGAAGGAGATTGTAAGCCGCTTTGAGACTCCGAACGAAGGGCGGGGTATAAATCCAGCTCTTCTTCTTCTTCTCCTGCCTATAGAAGTAAGGTGAGTGGTTGCTGGAGATGGAGTTCTTTTTAGTGGTGTCTTTGGAATGCCTGCTTTCATGAGGCTCGCCTGGCCACCTACTTGACTTTCCTTTGGGTGCCACAGGCCAAAATGTTTCACTTCACCCAGCTCAAGCTTTCAACTGTTCTCTTTTAATGGTTTACTCCTTGCCTGAGGACTGTTCTATCACTATGGTTGTAGATTACTCTGTTTGATGTGCTTTTATGCCCTGACTTCCTTCTGTTTCCTTTTTTTATTGACATGGATTGTTTTCTTTGATATGTTTTTATTTGTGTGGTTTGTCTTTATTGTCTGCTTGCTTGGTTTTGTTTTATTTTATTGTTGCTAGCCTCTTCAAGCAGGTCCGGAGAGGCAGCGTACAAATCTTCTAAATGAATAATACAACTGCCCTCCCCTTCCCCAACATAGGTGCCTTACAGGTATTCAGTTAAAACAGTGGTAAACCCAGCTCAAAAACCATTAGCAGTCCAAAATGCCTGGGAAATAAGCTGCGGTGGCTCAAGTGGTTAAGATGCTGAACTGCAGGCTGTGGAAGGTCAGTAGTTCAGCAGTTCGAGACCCGGGTGCCGCATGACGGAGTGAGCTCCCGTCGCTAGTTCCAGCTCCTGCCAACCTAGCAGTTCGAAAGCAAGAAATTGCAAGTAGATAAATAGGGACCACTTCGGTGGGAAGGTAACAACGTTCCGTGCGCCTTGGTGTTTAGTCATGCCGGCCACATGACCACGGAAACGTCTTCGGACAGCGCTGGCTCTTCAGTTTGGAAACGGAGATGAGCACTGCAACCCTAGAGTCGGATTCGACTGGCTTTCGAGCAAGGGAACCTTTACCTTTACCTTTAGAGATCCCAGGCAAACAGTTTGAGGAATCTGAAGGCAGGTGCCTTCCTCACCTCTTCTGGGAGCCCATTCTGTAGGGTGGAGCCACCACTGAAAAAGAACAGGCCCTGATGAAAGAGAGACAGACAGTCCTCAATGCCCAGTGGGTGGGGACCACTGTTCCCTCTACGCTGAGTTAGTGTGAGCTAGCTCATAGTTTTTTAGACTCCGGCTCACACCTTTTTGTCTCGGCTCAGGAAGGATGGCTCCAGAGCAAACTAATTTATGCAGCAGCCAAACTGTTCGCTCACAACTTTAATGCCAGTCGCTCACCAAGTAGAATTTTTGCTCACAAGACTCCACGGCTTAGAGGGAGCATTGGTGGGGACAGTAAGGAGAAATTGACTTGGGGATTGTAGCTGGTGCATGGTACTGAGTTGGGTGAGACAGCCCTTCTGTGAGTCCCGTCTCATGCAGGGCTTCGTTTTATGCTCTGTATCGTGACACGTTCCATGCTTTAATCCAGGGGACGAGGCGCTCCGAGCCATCAAGACCTTGCGCAGCGAGAAAGCCGTGCTGGCCAAGAAGCGCCAGATCATGCGACTCATGTTTGGTGATTACAGGAAGAAAATGGCAGAGGAAAGGCAGAAGCAGCTGAAGTCCATGCAAGCAGGTAGGGAAGCCAGATAGGCGTGGGTGGGACCTGGACAGGGATTTGGAAGCAGCCTTTTTCAGCTAGTGCAGCAGGGAATCAGAGCTTCTCTCTCTTCCCTGTTCTGGTTGTGGCCAAGATTAGGTATTAGCTCAACTGCATAGGCCCCATTTTCTACCTGGCACTGTTCTAGCCCGTGCTGGTGTGAGCTACCAGCCTTGTCCCCAGCTCGCCGTCCACCCAGCGGTTCGAAAGCTTCGGCGAGTAGATAAAATGGGTACCACTCCTTAGAGAGGGTGGGCACACTAAACCCCCATGGGGGAGGTGTTAGCCGGTGAATGGAAGGTCCAGCTCGGAAGCCTGGGGGGAAAAAAGACCTCTTCGGCATTAAGAAGCCTGTGATGAGCCAATCCGGCCAGGCGGTGGCAGTGCGGCACTACGACTCAAAAGCAGTCCTGGAAGAACTGACGTCATCTAGCCACGCCGAAAAAGTGAATGCCGTCCGGAACACGCCTGAAGCTTACAGCTGAACAAAATCCCCGTCGGCTGCAAAAGAATTATATATGTTGTCTTCCCTTACCCCTATGAAACATTGTCAGTCCCTTGTGAAAAACTTGTGTAACTTTAAATCGCTCAGAGCCAGCAGCTCTGCAGGATGAGCGATCAATAAATCGAAAGGTATTATTATTAGAGGTAGAAGAATGTCTGGAGCCTGCAGATCTAGTTGCCTTGTCTGGAGATGTCACCTCTGCCTTTAACTATTTCAAGGGGTTTTTTTTTTGGGGGGGGGCAGAATTTTGGTTCTCTTGGTACAGAATTATCTCTCTCTCTCTCTCTCTTTAGTTTCAAGTTCAGCCTGGAAATTAGTTCAGTCGATCATAGCAGGCAGTTGGAGAAAGGGGACCACTGGGTAGAAAGAAGCTCTTATTTGCCACAATTTTGCAAGACCACCGGCTGTGGAAATCAGCTTCCCCGAGAAGGCCCACTTAACGTTAATCGGAAAAAAAAGTGTCTAGGCCTTATGATTGCAAAGAGGTGCTTGAAAGTATGCGGACAGTAGCTTGGTAACACAGTGGAACCTAGAGAAGCCATTGAATGAGATTTCTAGTGACCAAAACGTGGGGCTTGAGCCCCCTCTCCCCCCAACCCAGGAGATGAATGGCATGCAGAATGCATCGTGCAGAAGAAGGGAACAAATTCAAGTACCAGCCCTAACAAAACCCATAATAATAATAATAATAGTAATACTTTCCATTTATTAATCGCTTTCCCCAGTGGGCTCAAAGCGATGTGCAGTTACTCAGTATAGACAGGGGACTAACAATGCTTGTAGGGGATAGGGAAGACAACATATATTCATTTTTTATTGCACGTGCCGTCACTGCCCGGTATAGACGTCTTTCTGGCTTGGCTCCGTCATTTTCCCGCACGGCTGCTTGCTGGCCAGGCTTCAGGACCCATATGTCGATCGCCACACTGCCACCGCCTGTCCGGAACATCCATTGCAGGGATTCTTTTCGTAGCCGAGAAGCCGTTTCGCCTTCCAAGCCTCGACCAGGACGTCCAACCATCAGCTAACGCCCTCCCACAAGGGAGATTGGCGTGCCCACTCTCTCTAAGGAGTGGTTCGCATTTTATCTAGTCGCCGAAGCTTTCGAATCGCTGGGTGGACGATGAGCTGGGGACAACAGGCTGGCTGCTCACACCAGCGCGGGGCTTGAACCAACACAGTTCAGATGTTAAGACAGTGGAATATACCCACTGTGCCACCGCTCCCCATCCATACTTGGAGCCTTTTCTCCCCAGGTCTGTAGAGCATAGCGCACTTTGCTCAATATGTTGGTTGCTAGGTGTGCAAATAGGTCTGAGATGAGGAGGCAGGTCAGTGAGTTGGTTAAAAATGTCTTAAAGATGCTCATGTATTTTATATATTGGGAGGTAGACCTTAACAATGCTTCTCCTCTCCTTTGAAGCTTCAAAGGCAGCTCGTATCACAGAAGTGCCCGAAGATGCACGCCGAAAGAGCAGCCAGGTTTTCAGGAAGTCCACGGAAGTGGCTGGGAAAAGTCAAAACTCCGAGGGTCCTCTTCTCCATTTTACCAGAACAGCCAACGCTTGCTCTTTTAGATTCATGCCGTCCCAAGAAGAGTTCCAGTTTAATTTTTTCTAAGAACACTATGTGAATGATTGTGGGTTGATTTTCATCAGGTGCTGAGAATTCTAGCTTTTCAAAAACTTTAACCATAGCAGCACAATAGCTTGCAGGGGAAGGGGGTGGTATTTTGTATCCAGCTTGCCACAGTCTCTGCTCTTGACATCAAGGGCCTCTTTGGCCGAGACGGTGGGTGTCTTTGCCCTCTTGTTTACCCATAATAAGAGGCCAAATCGATTTACAAACAGGGGGACAAAGGAAAAACGGCAAGTGGTGAAAGAAACCAGCTTCCTGGGAGAGACAGCTTGTAAAGGGAGAAGACTCTTTGCATTAAATGTGCTCTTTGAAAGCTCTGCTTGAACTGCAGGGACAGGGAGAAGACAGAGGGGCATGGAGATAATGGAAGCTGTATCGAGTGAAGCACTACAAGAGTCAATAAAAATGTCCGTATGGATATCTCCAACCAGACCTCTTTCTCTCCTTCCTAGAGATTTGAAGGCCCGGAAAAAACCCGGAAAAATTCGGAAAAAGAAACGTCCCCCCC